AATTTAGAACTAGATTTGTCTCTTTATTTTATTTTATTAAAACCAATGCCAAATGTTCAAAATTATCAAATGAAGTGCCAAAAATTGAAAAACCATTCATAAATATTCTATGCCTTATTCTATCAAATCAGAAAAAATGGCAATCATACATCTTTGAAAAATGACATGGGCAATATGTAGTCTAAAAGTTATCATTTTTAAGACAAAAATTCCATACGGAGTTATGAATGTAGTTTTCTTTTGATCCTCCGACTATTGGAATTTGGTTATACATTCAACAAATACTAGAAAATAATTGAGTGGGTGTCATCGCCAATTTTACTAATATTTGATCAATAAAGGACAAGAAAAAAATTGATATTTTGTAGTTGTCTTACTTGTCACTACTTTCATCCATCTTTTCCTTGGTACACATTGCATTGGGCTTACCCTTTATTCTATTTCTAATTGTTCATGATGGATTATCCCTAAATCCAATCATTTTAGAATCTCTTTCTTATTAATTTTCTTCATTATTGTATTTAGTCTTCTTTGAAGATTCATAATTGGTTTGTACTCTTCTTCTATTAAGATTATGTGCATACATTATGAGGATTTATTCCTCTAATGCTTGCTATTATCCAACCAAATGCCCTTTTATGATTTCTTAAAACTCTTATTAGTTTTTCTCAAGTTCATCTAACTCCGTAAAACTGATTATTGGCAAAATTGATAAACCTACATCAAAAGCATACCTCAAGTGACTTAGTCGAGTTTTCAATTCTAACTCAGGTGTTTTTATGATAAATGATTTTATGTGTTGTGCTATTAAGGATGTATTTAATGCTTCAATTTCTTCTTTAAAGAATTAATTACATGGAGCTTTTAGAAATGAGTGAGTTCATTTTCTCATTCACAAATTTTATATTTTTTAAAGTTTGTTCCAATAAATTAGTATTTAAATTATTGTTTATTTCTTCTAGCGCACATTCATCCACTATATAGAACTCATTATTATTTTATTGGAAAATTTCATTGATTGAAATACATTAAAAATCACTTTTTGATCTTGATTTATCTTGGTTAATTCCCCCTTTTGCGCATCTATCATAGTTCTACCTAAAGCTATGAAAGGGTCTTCCTAGGATAATGAGTACTTCTTTATCTTTCTCATAGGTCTACTTAAGCTAAGAAAGGTCTAAAATCAACAGGAAAGATAATTTGTCCAACTTCACCGGAACATCCTTATAACTCCCCTATGATATGTGAATGATTTATCAACCAAATTTTAAGTTACATATGAGGTTGAACTTCTCCTAATCCCAATTTCATAAAAAATGACAAAGGCATGAAATTTATGCTAACTATTAGGTCACTGATAGGAAATACTTGAGTTCGCAAGTAATCCTATCGGTAATACTTGAGTTCGCAAGCAACCCTAATAATAAATTGGTAAAAAACAGCGAAAAAGAACACAAGAATGCCAACAAAATCAACCCAAGACAATAGATTGTATTAGGGAAATCAAAGTAAAGCAAACATAAAGCAAAGATACAACTGATCATCAATTCGAGAGGTGGATCGTTCTCTCCCAATCTCTAGACGAAGAGTCTAGAGTCCAAATCATCAAAGAGAACTCAAAGAGAAACAATAATCTAACATAAACCCTAACCCTAACCTCTCATGCCTATTTAAAGTTTAATTCACTTGAATTCAAAATTTCTTTCCATCCTAACCTAGTCGCCTCTCTTAATTAGCCATGTCGGGCCCATGGCTTGGGCGACAATCACATAGGAGGGGGTTTGACCCGCCTTCTGTGGACTAAGGCCAACCCATGTGGTGCCGGCTGGGTCGGTTCAGAATCCAACCCAACAGTCACATAAGGCTTTTCCACATAATTTATCTCCAATTGTGCATGAAATTATGAAACTCCCAGATTCTTTTAATTTTTGTGAAATTTTTCTTTGAATTATGACATTACATTCATCAGTGGTGGCTATAATTTTAAATTCTCCTAATCTTCTTCTTTCATATAATGTCTTTCATAAACTTCGCATAACTAGGCATTTGTTCTAAAGCTTAAGCAAATTGAGTGCTAATAACAAGTTTCTTGGAAATTTCTGAAAACTTATAGAATTATTTTTTCAGTTTGTGCTTTTGAAACCTTGGAGGAAAAGGGTGAGGGTGGTCTTTCAATTGTTTTTTACTTGCTTGTTTCTTTATTAAATATTTTTTCAGGTTTCATTTTTTCTTTTTATTCATCATTATTATTCCCTTCATTTTTCCCTTGTTCAGATTCATTAATACTTTGATTTTCCTTTATCATTTATTTCAACTCCTTCCTACTCATATTTTGGATTGCTTTCATTGTTCTTTGCTATTGTCCTTCGGATTTACTTTTGTATTACCTAGCAAAATTTCTTGAGGTATGCTAGTTAATGAATTTGTTTGTTGTCCTAACTGCACTTCAATCCTTCTTTTTTGATGCAGCTTTACTTAACAATTGAGTGCCTATTTGTAACTCGACCTCTTTCAAAGACAATTTATGTTTATTTGATTGAACTTGAGAAGGGCATTCTGGTGGAAAATTATGTCTAGAGTTTAAAGCAATATTACCTTGATTATTCCAATTTCTTATAGGAGTATTTTAATTATCATTCATATTAATTACTCCTATGTTTTTATTATTACTCTTAGAAAAATTAGGATGACTTCCTTGACCAAAATTATGAGTATTATATTAAAGATTATTCTGTCCATTAGCCACATAATTTATTGATTCAATGTTCTTCTGGCAAAATTCACCTAAATGGGAAATACCATAATTGTCACAAATCATTGATTGACTCTATATTATATTTACTTCTAAATTATCTAATTGTTTAGATGGTGCAGCTTTTAGTGAAGTCAAAAAGACAAAACATCATTTTCATATACACTTATTATTTTTTGGGGATTCATATTCACTCTCTTTGATGGCCATCTATCAATACAAAAGCCTCTTTAAATGGTTTGTACATCAATGATCCACTTGCTACAACATATATTATCAACTAACTCATTATAAAAAAATTTGAACTATTAATCAATCGGGTAAGACATGATATGAACATTTCCTTAATATGTCCATAGATCTTTCTCAAGCCTCATAAATTGATTCGTGTTTCGTTTAAGTAATGAGGTTATGCTATTTATTAACTTAAAAGTCTTATCAGGAAAAAAAACTTTGCCAAAAGCTTTTATACAAGTTCATTCCAAGTTATTATATATCTTTGAGTTTGTAAATTCAACCACATTTTTTTTGTCCTTTAAAGAAACGGGAAACATCTTAAGTTTTATTGCATTATAAGGCACACCATTATATTTAAAGTTGCATATATCTCTAAGAAACTTGCTATGTGGAAATCAAGATCTTCAATTTGGAACTCCGAAACTGAGAATTTTGAATGAACCATTTAAATTATTGAATGTTTATGTTCAAACTTGTTAGCTTGAATGTTTATTTGATTTATGCTTGAATTATATCCATAAGAGTAGGGTATTAATAAATGACTTAACTTACCAACCTAATCCGAACTTAATTCAAAAAATCTTGATTTGGGTTGACCTGTTAACCCGCTTTTGACTTGAAAATGATCTGTTTAATATTTTTTCCTTAAATTTTTTTAATCGTGGGTATGCTTTTCTTATTTTTTAGTAAAGGTTCTAAATTTATAGTTAATAAGTTGTAGTTTTTTTAAAACTAAAACGGGTTAACGGTAGGATTCGGGTCATTTGGGTTGCTAGCGGGTCGGGTTCAAGTTGATTTTTTTTACCCATTTATTAAATGGGTCAGGCTCAGGTTGACTGGATTCTGATCGAATATATTTCAGATTGGACCCGAACTTGACCTATCAACCCGTTTTGACACCCTTACTTAAGAGATGTAGCATAACGTTTAAAGGGTCTAGGGGCATTTATCTTATTAGGTGGATATACCATTATTTGATTTTATAATAATTTTTTTTAAAATTTTTTATGACTCCTACAAGTTGTGTAATAGAAAAGTACCACTCAAACTTAAGGGAAACTTCTATAAGATGGTGGTTAGACCTGCAATGCTTTATGGTGGCAGAATGTTGGCCATTAAAAGAGAAGCATAATATTAAGTTAAGTTTTGTAGAGATGAGGATGCTCAGGTGGATGAGTGGCTTTACTCTTAGAGACAAGATACAAAATAAGCATATACGTGAAAAGATTTGAGTAACTCTAGTGGAAGATAAAGAAAACCATAAGATATATATGCATAAATCTATGCATGTTTGTATTTGTACATAAATGGTTATACATTTTGATTTAATCTCAAGCCAATTTAATCCGATTCTAGCTCGATGCAATCTAAATCGATCAGAGCCAGGCTTGGCTCATTGGTCAGCTTGTTGACTTTGATTCAAGCTCAAAATAGATTTGATTTTCAAGCATCTTAAATCCTCAAACCAAATTCATAGCCCTAATTATTACAATACTTTTCTTTTTCTTTTTCTATTATAGAACACTTAAGTTAGTAGCTCATTATGTTAAATAAATCACTAGAGCATGAATGCGGTAAGGATTTCTAAAGATTTTACATCTTTCGCTTTTATATTGTAGCTTGTGAAATAATATTTTGTTGGATAAACACAAAACTCTTCAATGTCAAGGGAATCAAATGCATCCCTATTTTTTTAAGTGGCTCTGCAAGGAGATGTTGATGCCATGTCGCATTTGCCCCATCTTTTTATTTTTTTCTATACAAATATATGATATTTAGTAGTGTATATGGTTAGAGCAAAGAAAAAATATTACACTTTTAGCATGAACTTGATATGCTTGTTAGGCAATTACATGTACTAATTCACTTCAAAAAGTACCTTTTCTCGATATGTATGTAAGTTGCTTGTGTTTAGTTCTAAATCCATCATTAGCTTCATGTACATTAAGCATGTAGGTTTATTAAAGAATTTATTGTTTATGATTCTAATACTGTTAAAACTAATTTCCAGAAACTCACACCAGCCACATATCATCCTACTCATAATAGGACTGTTCCTCCACCAAACCAAGGTACTCCTTTTCCAGATCTTACTGATAAAAATATTATTGCCTACATTTTTCTTCTATTGGAAGCAACTTAACTGCATGTATAATGTTTCAAACTTGAGGATTCCTACATTAGACTTTCTTTCAACTCTGCATATCAAATTATTATGTTTATTCTTATTTCAAGAAGCCTTAAGAAAGCTGATCTTAAAATAAAAATTTTGAGAACATGTTTGTGAGGTTTTGACTGTAGAAACTTGCGTTGGATTCCTTGACTTGAGTAATGGGAGTATGGATCTCTTAAGTCATTTGTAGTGTTTTAATGCGCATGATAGTATTGAATTTAGTCCCATATCTAATAATTATATATATATATGTCAAGTGATTTGTCCTTTCATATGGACTTAAAATTTTGGGTGGAAAACAGATAACTGTTAGTTTATCAGTTCTAATTTTTCATCTTTTTGATGCATACTCTCTGACATAGCAATATCTAAAAAAATGACAATAATGGAATAGTTTTTCGTGGAAAACATACCAACGTGATGATCTGGAGAATCAGTAGCTAAGTATCTTTATCATAATGGCTAGGTGTTTTCCAGCCTCTTGCATGTTGGTAAGTTGATACTACAAATTTTGGTTTTATTACTATATCATCGGTTCTAGTAAATACTGATCAATGGGTGTGTTATGTATTCTGCAAGATTTCCTTAACACCCTTGCCGTAAATTTTTGCAGTTATAACAACTGAAGCTAGAAACATTCTCCTGAGGCAAATCTATCAGAAAGCAGAAGACAAGGTGCCAACTTTTTCCCTCATCTAATTAGTGAAAAAATCACCTGCTTGGTCATCTAAATCGATAAAATATGTAGTAGTGATGCGTAATCACTGTTATATCTAACTAGAGAGCGATACATAACCATTAGTTCTGTCTTTCATTCTCTTTCTTTCATCTTTGCCCATAACTCTTTCTAATCAAACACAGCAATGACTAATTAGTCCATTTTCATCCTTTCTTTTTCTCTTGAATTTTGCACAGAAGTAATTTTGCTGAACACCCACTAATCTTTTTTCTCATCCAATTATTGCATTTTTATATCGAGTATAAGACATTGGCTGAGCCACCAACGTTTAAAATGAGAGGGCGTGGGAGAGTTTAGCCAAATTTAAAAAGGGCAAAGCCTCAATAATTTTTTAAATTGACGGAGAATTGAAAGATAAAATTTTCATACGATGCATGATTATTTAACACTTTTCTTAAATCTATTGGAGCGGCAGCCACCTTGAACCTCTCTCTTGATTCCACCATTGATTTCCTGATTCCTTCAATATTTTCCACTGATAAAAGAACAAGGTGATCGCCTTAATCTCTTAATTAGTATTAGACTTAAGAAATCATAATTCATATTATTAGACGCTAAACTAGATATATATATATATTTTGAATAGATTTATATAGTTCAAATTAGTGAAGCTTCCTTTTGATGCAGCTGAGACCAAAGAGAGCTGCAACAGATCTTCTAACACCGGAGCATGGTTGCAAACAACCTAGAGGTGACTTTTCAAATGATCCTTAGCTAACTTCTTTTTATCAGAAAACACTGCAAGAAGCTGATGCCTGCCTTTCTACTATATGTGAAACCTACACGAAATGTTTAGTAGTATTGTGTTTGTTTTCTAATTGAATGTCATCATATGCTCTGCTTTGGATGACATGAATGTCTATATTTGTCGGCCTTTAATATGCAGAGAGCATCTCTAGTAATATTGTATCTTAGATTTGTTGGTTTGTTATGTCCAATATGGCATATGAACTCTAAGGGGCTGTTTGATAGAATCTAGGATTTCATTTAAGTAGGATTTCATAAATCCTCCAAATCCAGATTTATGAAATCATGGGAGGTTAAATCCTGAAAACTGTTTGGTAACATTCATGATAAATCCAATTAAATCCTGTGACTGTTTGGCTGTTCAATTCAGGATTTAAGGCGGTTAAAAGAGTTGACATACATTATTAAGATAATTAAAGCACGACAAGAAAAGTTTAAATAAAATATATATATATATATATAGAGAGAGAGAGAGAGAGAGAGAGAGAGAGAGAGAGAGAACAACAACAACATCAAGCCTTTGTCCCACTACGTGGAGTCAGCCACATGAATCTTTTTTCTCCATTGTGTTCTATTAAAAGTCAAATTCTCGTTTAAATCTAATAAATAAAGATTATTTCTAATATTTTCTAACCAAGTCTTTTCAAGTCAACCTCTACCTTTTTTCGCATGAGTCAAATATAATACCTATACTTTCCTAATCAGGTCATCGGAAGGCCACCGTTTTATGCGACCAAACCATCTAAGGAGACTCTCTCTAATCTTATCTTCCAATGATGCTACTCAAACCTTTTCACATGTATGTTTATTTCGTATCCCATCTCTAAGGGTAAAGCCACTCATCCACCTGAGCATCCTCATCTCTGGCAACACTTAACTTAGTTTTATGCTTCTCTTTTAATGGCCAACATTCGGCATCATAAAGCATTGCAGGTCTCACCAACATCATATAGAATTTTCCCTTAAGTTTGAGGGGGACTTTTCTATCACACAAAAAGCCCAATGCATTCCTCCACTTCAACCATCCAACTTGAATTATGCTGATAATATACCCATATATTTCACCATCACTCTGAAGAATAAATTCAATATATCTAAAACGTGTACTCTTATTAATTACTTGATCGTGCAAAGCCTCATTAGGTCTATTACTACTAAAATTACACTCTATATATATTCAGTTTTAGATGTACTAAAGCGAAAACCTTTAGACTCTAAGTTTAACCTCTATAATTCAAGTTTACCTTCAACTCCCTCTCTAATCTTATCAACAAGAAGAATACCATCAACAAAAAGCATACACCAAGGTACATCATCTTGCAAATGTCTAGTGAGAACATCCATAACTAAAGCAAAAAAGATATAATCTTAAGGTTGAAGAGAGAGAGAACGGAAAAAAAAAAAACAAAAAGAGAAAAAAGGCAAAAAAAAAAAGAGAGGAAGAAAAGAAAAAGAAGATAAATTTTTTGTGTGATTTTCTCGTCGTTATTCTCCTCGACATAGCCGCCACCGTCTTACGTCGCTCAAGTATAATGTCTCCAAATCCTAAAAACTTCAAATCCCGCTTTTGGAGTTCACGGCACATCTGAAAATCACATATACACGCTCTTGTAGCTTGGTGTGAGGGAACCCTGTGCGACACTGGTGGCGAGGTGGGTAGGCCCTATACACGCTTTCGTAACATGGCGGGGACAATTGTAAGTACATTTGTACGTGCTCAATACCTACGAGGGAAAAAACTATGCATTTCAAATATGTATCTCGAAGACCCATATACGCTCTTATAGCGTGGTGGGATTATAGACCACGGTTGCAGTGTCGCCCGACACCTACCATACACGCTCTCGTAGCATGGTGGGAAGGCCCAAGTTCCCAATTTTTTTGTAAACATGAGAGATGCTGCCAAAATTTTCAGTGAACAAAGGACTTGAACTTAAACAAATAACAAGGAATAGGACTAAAGCAAAACCTGCAGGGAATCGAACTTTAACCAAATATCTATAGTGAGAAAATGCAATCAAATAATAAATAACGAAAATAAAACTTAAATCTCACCAGCAGATAATTACAAGGGACTTATGATGAAATCTCAACGTACATGATTTATTTATAAACGAATGAACAATGAGGATGTTGACTTGCTCACAAGCAACAACGTGAACTTTCAACGAATATGACAACTATATCATTTAATATGCAAACACCAACTGACATCAATGCAGTTTTATTTATAAATCATCTAGCAACATACCAAAAGGCATGTGATGTTTACGATAAATTGCTTGTAAATGACAATGGGAGATATGCAATGAATTGCTAACTAAGATGTGTTGGAAGGGTTTAAAGCAAATACAACTTGCTCATAACATGCATGCATTTGTAATATGCAGGGTGCGTCATGCAAATACGCCATTCAGCACGCAAAATGCTTCATGTATATACATGTTGTAATATGCATAATGCACTACACAAGGCTACGATATAAGCATAATCATGATTACATGTAGTTAGGAACGAGTGGATATGTTGCAGACATCCTCTCCTAACATATAATTGTACTAGATACATGCAAGATACATGTTGTAATATGCATTATGCTATTACATCATGCAGAATAAAAATACTTCATGCAAGCACTAAATTTTCATGCAAATATATTATACAAGCAAAACATACAGTGTATGTGTACATTATATACACTGACCATGCAAATACATCATATATTATAATCTTCATTAAACTACTACACTGCATGTCAATATATCATACAAGATGCAGATACGTCATTCAAACATGTCACAACATCTAAATGCATAAGTTAACTAATGCACAAAATTTTCACATAAATGCATAACATACAAATGTGTCGCGTGCATCCACTTGCATATATATATACAATAGCTACGCAAATGCATCATATAAAATACATGCAAAAGCCAAAAGCATATATCTGCATGGGCCTCGACGAGTGTGTGTATGTACATTCATGGCGTATAAGGATGTTGTGTGGGATATAAGGTGGCGACATGGCGTCTATGAGAATAGATAGGAGTTGACAAGCTCGAACTACCAAACAAATATAAGGTCGTGACATTAACCGGGTTATTTGTTTTATGCGTTCATATTAGGCCTTCAAGATCTATAACAAGAAAACTTTACTAATAAAGGCATAACACCGACAACGAACCCAATCCTTTGTCGTCAAATTAACAAAGTCGATAAGGTTTGACAAAAAAAACGAAATTGACCATAAGTACCATGATGATGGTTATGTTGAGATGAAATCTCAACTGGAGGAGCCTCCAAATACTTGAAAATGCCTCATAAATTCTCACAAAAAATTCAAAACTCTAAGGTCACTAAAACCTAAATATTTAAAATTGAAATAAAAATATCAAAATACTTAAAAAGTAAAATATACATCTTCCATCTGCAACAGTTTGCCAAGGTAGACAAGTATAAAAATCACTTCAGCTTGTTAAGAGCAAATGTTTGATTGAGAATATCTCTAGGATTCATTCTCAATATGTCTCTTGCCAGTAAGGACGCAACACATGTCCTCTAATCAGTGGTTTCTCCACCAAATGACACTACAGGTAAACAACTATGACCGGGACCCTCTGACCGGATCGTTTTGCCGCCAAATGGCACATTAAATTACGGTTATGGTCAGAGCTCGTATGTTCCCCGTTGACGCTAAATCATTGAGTAATGAATCAATAGGATATGGTTGATATGACATAAAGTCCTCTGTTATATAAGGTGAAATCAATTTTATCCTCTTAGACAAACATTCACCCTAGCTCTACGAGGTACCCTTAGATGAAGCAACCCATGACTACCGACAAGGATCCTTCTGTTAAATTGGGTTGAATATCTCATATGACTAAGTAAAACATGGATCATGATGATGCAGGACGATGGAACTATGAATCTTAATCGGGTCTATCATCAGTCCCCGATCATCTACTTTAAGTGCAATGTGATGAAAATCTAATTTTAAATATCAAATTTTCAAATATTAAATCATGCTGCTACTATAAGCCGGATACTACATATCTATTTGACGACTAGCCTTAATTGAAAGTTTTCTCTCGCTATCGGGAGGGGTAATTAACTATAGGGGCTTGCACCTATATGAAACCTAAACTCAGATCATAAAATCCTTGCAAAATGTGAGTGAAATCTCTGGGTAACGCCTTATTCAAAATCTAATATGCTTTTTGAAAATTGTCTCGGAACTTGCTCGTTTAAAGTCTTCCCGATGAGCCGAAGAAACAAAGGGGCCACGGAGAGGCTGGGATGTGAATTTTTGGAGCCCACAAAAATACAATGAAAAGAATATAAGATTTTCCTTTAATATGCCATCTCGAGGTGGTGTCCCAGGAGAGGATGTCAATCTCAACACAATGTTGACCAAGGCGATGACAAGAGAGAGATCGGTGAGTGCATCTGCAAGTTGATCATTGGAGCCTCAGAGAGGGACATGAGAGATCCGAAGTTTCCCTTTTGAATTTTTGCCTGAACAAAAATGAAGTGAATGGCAATATGTATCATCCAATAATAAAAAAAATGGATTGACGTACAAATAAATGACATAGACATTGTCACAACAAACAATGGCTGCAGAGGATAAATAAGCTCTAAATTGATGAAGTAATTATAAACATCTGAGTTCGGCCCTGTTAGAGGCAATGGCACACTATTCTACATTTCTACTTAGTTGGAGGAACATAAAACCATGCGTTGTTTCTTTAAGCTCCATTGGATAGTATTGTGGCCAAGAAAAACATCATAAGCGTTGGTTGAGGTGCGATCCGCAATGTTGTTTGTGCGGTCGACATCAGAGATTCCATGAAGGGATAGTGGGGAGTGGCGAAGAAAGAATAATTCATGATTGATTGTGGCTCGAAGGTAGAAAAAAAAACATTTGATAACACTCTAGTGTATAGTGGTAGGTTGATGCATAAATTGAGAGAGTTTGTTTACAGAAAAATAATACTTGACCAAGTGAAAGAGAGATATGAAATGTAGGCATGTGGTTCAGAGACATGGGAGTGATGTCTTCATTTGCATCGACCATATGAGCCTTCTTCAGAAGGTCTTGGATATATTTGTGTTGAGAAAGAAAGAGATCTTGAGGAGAGAGGATGAGTTAAACACCAAGAAAGTATGAGATGTTGCCAAGGTATTTGATAGAGAATTGTATT